TTCGTATGGCTTCCTTGATCATGCAGCATGAACAAAGACGCACGAGCTGGACTAGAAGTCAGCATCCTATGGAAATTGCTCTGCATATGCTTTCATACATTTCTCCATTCAAATGCAAGGATTATGGCCATAAGTGATTTTTCAAACAACATTGTTGATGGGTAATGATGCAGTACACAGGCTCAGATGCTATCGGCCACTGAAGCACAATCATGCCATCTCAGCTTAGTCACCATCTCCTCAAGTGACAGTGTACCGGTATATGGGTTAACAGTACGAACAGAGATAATGATTCTCTCAAGTGTGAAGGTCCTCTTTCCCTCCTCTTGAAGCCCAACTCTGATCATTATCTCCATGACGCTGAAGAAGAAGCTGCATGAGGTCATTTGATGACACAAAACCACGAAGACGTTGGGCTGGCCAGATTTACTTGCTAACGTATGGTGGTTGAGCCCATATAGAGGAGCCACCTTTAAAGATGATGAATTCAAATTGGCAAAAGTGAATGCCATGTTTGGTAGGTATTGGACAATGTCGCATTGCTCGATCATCCCAAATTTGTTTTCTGGGGGGGGTGGTTTGGACAGTGGGAGACAGTACTATGTATTTCGAAGTGCAGTGTGGGTACACGCTACTGACTCGCTACTCCCTCCAATCTCCAACTTCACACACAGTACGTCGGATCTCCAACCTTTCGAACGGAGTCCCTACACTGTATCTTGAACGCACTCCACACTCTCTCGAGACTCCCCCTCCACTACACAACAGCTGTATACGTGGGGAGTTCAGATTGCTCAACCACACCCAATTGGGTTTGTTTGTTCGGCTTTGTTGAAACCAAACCAAACCAAACCTTTGTTGAAACTAAGGGCGACGTCAGGTTGTACAACTTTTTGTACGCCACTGCGGTTAACTCTGTTTCAATACGGTGCAGAGCGGTAAACGTCAAGAACCGCTTTCCACCGTTTTGGAACGTTTTGAACCACGATACATGAACTGTAAACCCATGAGAAATGTATAACCTGATGTCGCCCTAAACCAAACCAAACCAAACCAAACCTAAGCACTTCCCACGTCCGTCCGATCAAATCGTTTCGATGGCTACGATCACCATTTGCAAATGGGCTTTCTTGAAACCCCACTTGCACATGATTGGTTGCCGGATTGTCTCGGATCGAGCTCAGAGCTCCTGCTGCCAACCAACTCGAAACCCTAGAGCAAACTCTATGTCGTTTGTATTTAGCTTGTGAATGCAGAGTGGTTCAATTCAGTTTTTAGTTCACGGTCACGTTCAATTCAAATCCAAGTACTCCCTCCTTCTACCTTTACTATCGCTACTCCAGAGCATCCGCAGCCGGAACTCTAGGCGGAAAGTTCCACTACTTCTGTTAGTACCATGGTTCTTAACTACTCATGTCGCTTCGTCATTCCACAATGAGTCTCGGACTTCACGCATGTTTTCTACTGCTTGCTGTTACGGCCGTGACTTCCGTATGCTTTCATTCCCTCGCTTCTCCCTCCCATTAGAACTCTTCCCTTCCCCTATTCTCCTTGTACCTTTCCGCAACATACGTGATCCTCCCCTTCCCTTACCATTTTTCCCCCTCCTCTACCTTTTCGAAATGGCAGAACTTGACGCGGTGGATCGCTTGATATGACTACGGTTACGGGCGATGTGGCGATAGTGATGCTCGGCGATACCCTTTTGCAATGCCGCTGTAGCTTCATAGTCGAACCCTATGTTCACTCCAAGTTTCTTTCTTTCTCCCCTTTCCCTTGTCCACAATCCGATGAAGTCGACGAACGGCGCGAAGGGCAAGGTGGCGACGACGCAGGCGGCGGGGTCGACGTACGACATCTACGACGGCTCATGGGTGTCCGACCGCGCCCACCGCCCCGCCTACGACATGTCCCTCGTGCCCCTTTCTCAAGGTGCGCCGCATTGCCGTCGCTCATTGCGCGGCTTATTCTTTCTTTGCTCACGCGTGTTAGATCGTCGCATTGCCTTCGGGAATGTGCGATACTGCTGATGTAAATGGCGCAATTGTGGAGGGAGCACAATACGATACTCGCCAGCCAAGTTTATGATGCGAATGCGGAACAAGTGAGTTGCTCCATCCCGCATCGGACTAACCGTTTGTGTCGACACACTACCGCAGTGCGAATCGCGTGAGAAGCATCCCTTCCTCGCCTGCACGTGCAGCCTCACCCTGCATCCCCTTCCCTCGCCCCACCTTCCCTGGCAGCACACCCTTCCCTTCACCATCACCCGCTCTTCCTCTTTACCTCGCTCTCCCGCCCTCTCCCTCCCGCAACAGCCTAGCGGCGGCGGACAGCAAGGTGACGGCGTCGAGCACGAGCAATGTGCGGCTGGGAGCTCACCTTCCCTTCACCGTCCGCCGCACCTCCTCTTAACCTCCCTCCCCGCCTCACTCCTCCCACAGCACCCTTACGGAGGCAAGTTTATGATCCTCCCCCTTCCCTTCACCATCACCCGCTCTTCCTCTTACCTCGCTCTCCCGCCCCCTCTCCCTCCCGCAACAGCCTAGCGGCGGCGGACAGCAAGGTGACGGCGTCGAGCACGAGCAATGTGCGGCTGGGAGCTCACCTTCCCTTCACCGTCCGCCGCACCTCCTCTTAACCTCCCTCCCCGCCTCACTCCCTCCCACAACACCCTTACGGAGGCAAGTTTATGATCCTCCCCCCTTCCCCCTCCTTCCCCTCCGGCTGTCATGATCATCCTAGTTTTTTTCTTACCTCGCTGACTTTCCCGTTCTCCTCGTCCCCCGTGCGCCTCTCTCCCCTTTCCCGCCGCTCCCCCTCCCCCGCTCATTCCCTTCCGCAGTTGCGGCAGCGCGCACGATCCCTCGTCCGTGTGTTTGACAGAGATGGTTTCTGATTCCATGGAGACCGACTCTGCGAAGAGCCACACTCTCGACCACGGCCTGCTCGACGCGATTCACGGCAGCGAGGGTCGATATAACGTGGCATACGCGGATTCGTTCTACGCGCGCATGGCGGAGCAGGACGCGCAAGCTCCGCGGATGGGGAGAGCGGCGGGCGTCTTTCCGCTTTGCGCCCACCCCTATTCCCTCAGCGCCTGCGCCTCCGCGTCAAGCCATCCGTGCTTCCCCTCCTCCCTGTGCCCCACGCACCGCCACTGCAACGTGTTGGCGCATAGCAGCTGTGGTTCCGGAGCGAGAGTGTCCATCTAGAGGCGCTACCAAAAGGTACGCACGCCTGCTCACCCTGCCTACCCTTTCTTCCGGCCATCTTCTCCGCCTCATTCCCTTCTTCACTTTCCCTTGGCCCTTGTCCGTTTTTCCCTTCTGCTAGCTTCTTGTTTCTCTGAGCAGTGTCTTCCACGTTCGTGTTGCCATCGTAATCTCCTCCCCACCACCTTCTCCCCCCACCACCCTTCCTCCCCCCCCGCCTCCTCTGCCCCGTCCCTCCTCCCCCGTGCTTGAGCAGCTGATAGACGAGTCACCGAGCACGTTTGTTGACGCCGCCTCGCGCCAAGGCGCTGGTGGAGTTATTAGAAGTAACTCATGCTGTGGCCATGCCCCGTCCATGCTCATGCCCGTCCATGCTCCTGTTTCCCTTTCGTTTGTCTCAAACCACCCCAAATCAGGCGTGGAAACTGCTCTGGAAGCAACTGCAACGCCTTAAACCACCACCACCGACACAAACACTGCTAACGCCAATGCCGCTACAACTTCCTTAGCAGCGGCTGGCAGCAGCAGCGACTCCCGGAGGTTCAGCCTTCCCATGCCAGCACTCAGTGGGATTGCAGCAGGGGAGCCATTGTGCTGCTGCTGGTTGCCATCACTGCAAGCCCCGCAAGACCGGGTGTGATAGTGGCCGTGCTTATGTGTGATGCCACTGTATGTTGTGCGTTGTTTAAGTGGAACCTAAACACTATTTTAATGAATAATAAATCTCTGACAAAACTAGTAGTTGTTCAATACATTTTGTATTGAAAGCAGTATACGTCTTTGTTACACGATGTAACATTTGTTACCTTGTAATGTTTGGAGTAGTTGCTACAATGTATGTGGTATTTATCCGCACTGTTCCGAGGTTGTTACTACCGAGAATCTCCGTACCGCACACCCAGCGCACTTCGATGGATAGTGTTGCGACACAGCAATTAAAGTGTGGGGTCTCCCAACCCCCGCGGAGTACCAGCAGGGTTGCGACATTGTACCTACTGCACGCTGCGGTGAGTAGTAGTTTGTATGTATTAACACATATGCGTACATACCCCTCAGGAGTGGAGTAGCTACTTAGTAAGTACACAGCACGTTTATAGTACATAGTATGCAGGTTCGCCTTACTACTTTGGGATCATGTCATTCAGAACCATCACAGCGTCTGTCAGATTCTCCTGGCACTTGCACTTTTGAAATGGATGCATAATGGAAAGCACATTGCTCCCCTTGCAGCTGATATCCAGGAGTATTACAGGACGTTTCCACTTGAGGGGTGAGATCAGGCACATTGGAAGGACTGAAACTAGAGCAGCACGCCGCGAAAAGCCGTCGGTAATCGAAGTCGTAAGTGAGCTCGACGGTCATCAATGAGGGAAAGTGTTTCCTGCATTTTTTCTCTCCACACTCTCTGACTGTAAGCAACTTCTTTGAAATCCTTGCGCACTAGAGAAAAGGATATCACGTCCAACGGAGGGAAGTATTGCGTGCAAAGGCTTTCCAACACATTATGAGGCACGGACGCTAGAGTTTCTGTGACCTCATACCGCTCCGCCATGGAATGCCTCAAGAACCTGAATTCAGAGCTACTCAAAAGCAGCGAGACAGCGTGCTGGTAAATATGGAACCTGGAATGGCTAGCCCGATGACAATTTATCCATTTCTTTTCCTAATTGCCTATGCTCGCTCTCGTCGCGTGTTTCAGTCGATGAGTTTCCAAGGTGGAAGGAAAATTTCTGTCGACCATGATGAATCTCGCATGTTAATCGAACGGTCGAGAGGATCTGGAAGTAACACTCATCCTAGCGAGTCCACGCACACACCCTAGGGAGGAGGGAGTTATCGGGATCATCTCGAGAATGGCTGGTGGTGGATGAGAGAGTTGAGATTACGGCGTGCTAGATCGCCACACAATTCCGAAAATGGGGTCTGGCCGAATTTTCGACGACCAAATGGTCGTCATATTCTTCGCGAACAACGACGAGGTGGCCGAATCAGACTCGACTCTTTAACAGCCAAATTTTACAGTTTTGGCAATTTAACAACTTTGGTGGCCGAATTGCAAGCTGGTTCAGAAAAGTTGTTAAATTTGCAGTTACTACAGTAGTTTAGAATGTGCGACGGGGTCGCACATTTGACGGCGATATTTCTCATTTGACGCGATCATAAATTCTGTCGTTGGACGAAACCGTGCGACGTCGCATGCGTTCGTCGCACACTATGTCGACTACTTGGCCGTTTCGGAGTCGACTCGGCGTCGTTTTCGTGTCGACTTTTTAAACGGCCATCAAATTCGTTATTTTTTTACGAAATTCGCGACAGTCGCCACTTGGACTTACGACGGTCGCAAACTGGTTACCTTCGCGAAAACGGCCCGACGGATTGTGGCCGAACTTTTGGAGTTCGCGATTTAACACGCCCTTACTAGCCATTTCAACAGCTCGGAGCTTGTTTGGAGATCCCCACCCGGCAACCCGATAACGTTTTCGCGAAAATTGGTGGTGAGGGAGGTCTGGAACATAACTCGCTTTGGTGGTGTTCGCAAAGACTATAATGTTATGTCAAACATTATATATGTTCTGCTTGTGTAGGCTACAGTGGGTTAGCCTATAGGGGGTACACAATTCTAGGGTTTCCTACTTGTACTCATTTCACTGCTAGTTCATACATTCCTGTTCGCTTATTCTCACATGGTATCGAGCAGGTTCCCCTGTGGGAACTGTTCGTAGGGCCCACCACCGCTACCTCTTAACCCTTTTTTCCCTGCCCGGAGCGCGCTCCGGGCCCTAGTACTTTTTTTTTTTTTTTCGATCTGCCCTAGTGCTCTGAAGGCCGCCCGCCCTAGCGCCCGAGCGCCGCCGCCCTTGCGCCCTGACGGCCAGCCCGCCCTAGTGCCCTGACGGCCGCCCGCTCTAGCGCCCGAACGCCGCCCGCCCTAGCGCCCTGACGGCCGCCCGCCCTAGCGCCCTGACGGCCGCCCGCCCTAGCGCCCGAGCGCCGCCCGCCCTAGCGCCCGAGCGCCGCCCGCCCTAGCGCCCTGACGGCCGCCCGCCCTAGCACCCGTGCGCCGCTCGCCCTAGCGCCGTGACGGCCGCCCGCCCTAGCGCCCTGTCGGCCGCCCGCCCTAGCACCCGAGCGCCGCCCGCCCTAGCGCCCGAGCGCAGCCCGCCCTAGCGCCCTGACGGCCGCCCGCCCTAGCGCCCGTGCGCCGCTCGCCCTAGCGCCCGAGCGCCGCCCGCCCTTGCGCCCTGACGGCCACCCGCCCTGACGCCTGAGCGCCGCCCGCCCTAGCGCCCTGACGTCCGCCCGACCTGACGCCTGAGCGCCGCCCGCCCTAGCGCTCTGACGACCGCCCGCCCTGACGCCTGAGCGCCGCCCGTCGTCGCCCCAGCGCCCTAGCGCTGGACGCCCGCGAGCCGCCCGTCGCAGCCGCCCGTGAGCTGCCTGTACGCCGCCCGCCGAGCCGCCCGTGCACCCCGCCCAGCGTGAGCCGCCCACGACCGCCCAGGCTGCCGTCCCCTTCTACCGGCCCCGCAACTGCACCTGCTGGCCCCGCCGCTGCACTACCGGCCCCCACCACCCACCCCCCCTTTTCCCGTCGCCCGTCGCGGCTCCTTCGGGGGCCGCCAGCAGAGGGGTGGCAGGTGTGTGGCCTCCCCCTGCTTCTCCTCCTCCTTCATCGCTCACCTGCAGCAGCCGAGCCGCCCCACCGCCGAGCCGCCCTGCACCCGAGCCGCCCAGCAGCCGAGCCGCCCTGCCGCCGAGCCGCCGGGTCGCTGAGTTGCTGAGCTGCAGTTGCTGCCGAGCCGCCCTGCCGCCGAGCCGCCGAGTCACCGAGCTGCTGAGCTGCAGTTGCTGCCGAGCCGCCTTGCCGCCGAGCCGCCCGAGTCGCCCGAGCCGCCGAGCCGCCGAGCTGCCGAGCCGCTGAGTCGCCGAGCCTACTCTTCCCACCACTGGTGAGCTCTTGCCCTGCTAGCACGCTGCGCGTCGCCTGCTTGCCTGCCTGCCTGCCTTTTGGCTTGCCTGGCTGCCTGCCTTCCTGCTGCTAGTCCTGCTCCTGCTTCTACTTGCGGAGCCAGATGCAGCCCCAACGACGCCTGCGTGAGTCCCTCACGCCCCAGCAACTGCGTGAGTGGTACGTTGGTTGGGGCTGTAGGGGTGGCGACGCTACTCCTACTTCCACTCCTGCTGCTTCTACTCGTGGTG